TGCATTCAAAGCCTATGTTGGGACCTGGGCATGTCTCCCCTGTGCTTACATGAGCTCCCTGTGCCTCTCTTTTGTGCCTGCCCAGGCTGCTATCTGCCCAGCAATCCTGAAGCAATTGTGCTAGACATTGACTACAAGTCAGGGACACCAATGCAGAGGTGAGTGCCAGCCCCACACTGCTGTGCCTCACTCGGGAGTCTCTACTGGCTGTCTCATATGCTGCGTTTGTTTTTCCAGTGCTGCAAAAGCGCCATATCTGGCCAAGTTTAAGGTGAAGCGATGCGGAGTGAGCGAGCTTGAAAAGGAAGGTCAGTATGGAACTCACTCAGTATGGCCTCTCCTCCCTAGTGCTGGTTTGTTACCAGCATCCTATAGAAGGTGTCTGCCATCCTATGCCTGTAGGCTCACCCTCCCTCTGAAAATGGCAGGGTGCTATGCAGTAGCTCTCACTTACCCTAGAATCTGTCACCCACGTCACAGGAACCCCATCTTGAGCCAGTGTGGGGCAGGCATGCTAGTTGCTTCAGGCTCTGTGTGGGTGACACAAGAAGCATGCAGTCCTCAGGCCTGCCGACATCAGCATGAGGGGGGCGTGCTCCGGTGAGAGGGTTCAGGCTGTGGGCAAGTTCTGGAGCCTGGCTGCTCTCTGGCCCCGCACTCCTGTGGTTATGGGCAGTGCTGCATCACTCCACCGCTGCTGTCTCCCGGTGGCCTCTCTACAAGGGCACTTTTGGACACTTGCCATCTAATATGACTCTTTTGGAGTCCTTTGGTTTGGTTTGGTTTGAGTTTTTGTTTTTGTTTTATGTTTTTGGGGGTTTTTTGTTTGTTTTGTTTATTGAGACAGGGTTTCTCTACATAGCCTTAGCTGTCCTTGAACTCAGAGATCCACGTGCCTCTGCCTCCCGAGTGCTGGGATTAAAGCCAGCGCTACCCAGCTTAGTGTGACTCTGTAGCTGGGTTCTTTTCTCTCTTCCACCCTTTTCCACTCTTATTAACCCCCTAACACTAAATAGGAGAAAAAAAAGGTTAGATGGTAAAAGGGGTGAAATTACCATTAAACTACTTCCAGCTGATTAGGGTCATTGAGTTCCTTAGGGCAAATTTGACCTTCCCCACCAGGAGATGTAATTTCTTCTCCTTTCTTTACACATGACTACTTGACAAACAGTAACCAACAGCATCCAACCACCAACTAGCCAACAGCAGCCACCCTGCCTCTTGGGCCCTGGCGTTTATCTATCCTCTGAAAAGTCCCCAGAATCCCGTGTCACACCCTCACAGAAACTCTGCAGCTGGCAAAACCACACACTGCTAGAGCACGAGGCAAATCAGTCACCTGCTGTGGAGCAGCCTCAAAGTCCCACACCTGGGAGTAAAACAAACCATTCCCGTAACATCTCTGTCTTCTTTAAAGAGACCGAAATTATAAAATCCTCACTACAGGTTCCTTTAACATGATTGCATCTTCAAACACCTAATGACAAATAAGATCACATTTGTGGTTTGGGCTGTGAACTCTGTGGGGACACAGGCCAGTGTGGAGAGATGTCCTGAGTGCCTGACTGTGTTCTGGCCCTGAGTCCTCAGCTTGGACCCTCGGGCTCTTTTTTTTTTTTTTTTTTTTTTCAGTTCCTTGTAAACTTGTTTGTTCTTAGGGAAGCTTGGGCCCAGTGATTTGTGTGACCCCTTAGTATTTTGCAGAAGTCACTCAAGATCCCAGCTCTTTCTAGGCCCCTGGGAAGCCACCCCATAGCCTCAGACTAACAGACAACCCTGCCCCAACCCACAGGTCTACAGTGCCGATCAGATGCAGAGGATGAGTGCCGAACACAAGAGGCTGATGGCAAGAAGATCTGCTGGCAAGCAGCCATCTTCAAAGTTGGGGATGACTGCCGACAGGTGACAGAGCTGGCCTTATTTTGGCTAGCAGGGCAACACATCATCCCCTAGTGATATCATGTTGTGAGGCATGACCCTTTTCTTCACTTGATTTGATTCAGGTGCTGTGGGGAACTAGTCCAGCTCCACCCTGCACCATTAATGCTCACAAAAGGACAGCCTCACTCACATCCTCTGGGCAACCTCAGACAGCCCAGCATGGGTGGGCAGTAAGGCCAGACTTCTAGACTCCCATTTGGCCACAGCCTGCCCCTTTCCCTCATTGGCACCCTGTGTGAGCCTCCAGGGCCATAGTTTCTGAATGGTCCGGGGCTGAGGGGAGGGCACTGACTGCATCCTTGTGCCTTTTCCATCCCAGGACATGTTAGCCCTGCAGATCATTGACCTCTTCAAGAACATCTTCCAGCTGGTTGGCCTGGACCTCTTTGTTTTTCCCTATCGGGTGGTAGCTACCGCCCCTGGGGTGAGTTCCTGGAGCATTATGGACAAAGGGACCATCACATTTTACTGCTGCCACCTAACTGTCCCTTCCTCCTTCCCTTCCTAGTGTGGAGTAATTGAGTGCATACCAGACTGTACCTCCCGAGACCAGCTGGGCCGCCAAACTGACTTTGGCATGTATGACTACTTCACACGCCAGTATGGGGATGAGTCTACCTTGGCCTTCCAGCAGGTAGCTAGCCCCAGAGCCTCAACGCACCCATTATCTCCTGTCTGTCTTCCTCTCTTAGGAGCTAAAGAATTCACCCATAGCTTTCAGTGTTATAGAAGCCTAGAACCCCAGGGTGCAGAAAGTGCTACTGTCTCTGCCCTCTACACAGCTGCACTCGCTGCCGTGAACCCTGCATTATTGACCCCGCTCTGCCCCTCATGTGAGCCACAGAGCCAGGGTAAGACCATAGCCCTCTCCACACAGGCACGGTACAACTTCATCCGAAGCATGGCTGCCTACAGCCTCCTGCTGTTCCTGCTGCAGATCAAGGACAGGCACAATGGCAACATCATGCTGGACAAGAAGGGTCACATCATCCACATCGGTCAGCCAGTGCCACTTCATTCTCCCTTTGCCCATCGTAGAGAGAAGCCTACCTAAAGCCACTAGGTTACACTACTGCAGAGGTGGTCCGCCAGGACTTGGGGAGCTGGGAACTAGAATGGCAGCCCACACTCTCGGTAGACGTGAGAGCTAGTGAACGCCTCTGCTGTGGCCTACCTGCTTCCTGCCTGCTCCCTGCTTCTGTCCCTCAGAGAATATGGCCCATAGTGGCTGACACTTTCTCCTCCCAAAATAAACCATCTAACCTCAGGCAGGTTTTTGGGATTTTGCAGACTTTGGCTTCATGTTTGAAAGCTCACCAGGTGGCAACCTTGGCTGGGAACCAGACATCAAGCTGACAGACGAGATGGTGATGATTATGGGGGGCAAGATGGAAGCCACACCCTTCAAGTGGTTCATGGAGATGTGTGTCCGAGGTTACCTGGCTGTGCGGTGAGCCCATGGGCAATATGGAAGGGATGTCAAGGTGGGAAAGAGTACTCATGCCCTCTGGAGCAATCAGGCTCTGTGGCACTGAGAAGTCACCACTCCTATCAGGTGGCTAGCAGACACCTGCAGCTCCAGGTGCCTACGCTGGCCTCTTGAGGCACCTGCACATATACATGCAGACACTCAGACACATGAAGATAATCTTGTCTCAGTCACCATACAGCGCTGGCTGTCCTGGAACTTAACTATGTAGACCAGGCTGTAGAGCTGAGTTGGCCATTAAACGTTAGGTTCACAACCAGACAAGATAAATCTCTTTTTAGAAGTGAAGGGCTGGGGCCTGAAGAGGTGACTTTTCTAGAGGTCCTGAGTTCAATTCCCAGCAACCACATGGTGGCTCCCAATCATCTATAGTGAGATCTGGTGCTCTCTCTTGGCGTGCATGATCTTTTAAAAAAAAAAAAAAAAAGTGAAGGGCCTCACCTGTGAGAGTAATTCCCACTCTGAACCTCCAGCCAAATCCTGTCATGTGCCAGCACCCTGGCCACCATTTCACCTATGATAGAGACTGGCATCAACCAAATGTCACATGGACTATCACTGTGGCACATCCCACAGCGTCTTTGGAACCACCGCCAGAAGCCTGGCATAGTGGCACAGGGCAGCACCACTCAGCCTTACAGAGCTGTGCTAGCCTGGCAGAGGCAGGCAGCAGATTGTGTGGGAAGGTGGCAGCTGGACTGTGAGCAGGGCTCCCGTTCAAGCTAATTCTGTCCCCACCCTCCCTGTCTCTACAGGCCCTATATGGATGCAGTCGTCTCGCTGGTTACACTCATGTTGGACACAGGCCTACCATGTTTCCGTGGCCAGACAATCAAGCTTTTGAAGTAGGTGCCACTTGTGGAAGAGTTGTCCATCTGCTGGGGTCCTACCTAGAAACCTCTTATATAGCCTTGAACCCCCAGAGCAGACAGGGTTCCTGGAATAGCCGGGTGGCACTCAGCTCCCTAAGTAGTTGCTGGAAGGGTCAGGGAGCACACTAGGCCACACCAGGAGATCCTCCTTCAACTGGACTGATTCCCACAAATGCAGTCTCCCTTCATCTTTTCCCAGACATAGGTTCAGCCCTAACATGACAGAACGAGAGGCTGCGAATTTTATCATGAAGGTCATCCAGAGCTGCTTCCTCAGCAACAGGCAAGTCGCCCACTGTGCCTGAGCCGCCCTGGGGACAGGCAGATGGGGGGGCTCCTACAGATGAGCATCTTGTCTTCACTTTCTTTATTTGACCTTTCAGGAGCCGGACCTATGACATGATCCAGTACTACCAGAATGACATCCCCTACTAAGGCTGGTATCCCACAGCAGCTCACAATGTTACCATAGAAACTGTCTATGCTTCTAAGTGTGTAACAGACACGTGGAAGTTTGATGCACTTTGAGTCCCTGTTCACACTAGATACATTCCCTACTTGGTACATGAAGTGTTTTCTTGTGTAAACATAAAAAATTGGCATGGAAAAAATAAAATCCCAAAATGTACTGCTTTTGTTTTGTTAGCTAAGCACAAATTTGACCTGTGGTTGAGGCTGCCCTTGAATTCCTGGTCCTTCTGAGTCACAGGTAGCTTAAGTAGTCTTGGGGAATCAAATCCAGGGCTAATGGGTAAGCACGCCACCCCCAGCTATAGCCCCAGCCTATGACTGTCAGGACCAAAAAGAGCCCCCTCCAAAGGGGAGACCTTCCTAGCCGGCCTTTGTCTCCATATCTCTCTGAAGCCCCTACATGGATATGGTTATTTCTGTGGCAAGTCAAGCTCCAAATAGGTGCCAGTGTGGTCTCAAAAGTAAAATTTTAAATTGGAGCAGAGTCTGTAATTCAAATATTTGCCGGGCATGCACAGGCCATCCACAATAGATGGGAATGGTGGCAGGGTGAGAGTGGGAGGAAACTGAGAAAGCAAACAGAGGCCCAGGAGTAGCCCACACCTGGAATCCTGGCACCTCTCATCCTCGGTTTTCTTGTTTGCTTTTTCCAGACAGGGTTTCTCTGTATAGCCTTGGCTCTCCTGGAACTTGTTCTATAGACCAGACTGGACTCAAACTCACAGAGGTCCACCTGCCTCTGCCTCCAGAGTGCTGGGATTAAAGGCTTTCGCCACTGCCAACCGGTGGTTTTAGGTTTTTTGTTTTGTTTTGTATGCGTATGTGTGAGTGTCTGCGTGTTGTTTGTGCACCATGACCGTGGTGGTTTGACTAGGTCTGGCCACCACAGATTCATGTCTGAATGCTAGGCCCATAGGAAGTGTCAGTGTGGGAACAGGCTTTGAGGTCTCACATGCTCAAGCTAAGCACAGTGTGGCACAGGGTCCCCTGCTGCCTTCGGATCAAGATGTAGAGCTCTCGGCTCCTCCAGCACCATGTCTGCCTGCACGCTGCCATGCTCCCCACCACGACGATAAAGCACCAAACCTCTGAAACTGTAAGAACCAGACCCAATTAAATGCTTTCCTTTATAAAAGCTGCTGTGGTCATGGTGTCTCTTCACAGCAATAAAACCCTAAGACAGTGACCATACCGGGGCCTGAAGAGTACATCAGATCCCCTGGACCAAGAGTTACAGGATGTTGTCTTGTGTGAATACTGGAAAATGAACTGAGGTCCTCTTTAAGAGCAGCAAATGCCTTGTCCAGCCCCACCTAGTTTCCTGAGGTAGTCTCCCCGTTGGCTGGAGCTCACCGATTCCCACCTGTCTCTACCTTCCCACTGGAGGCAGAGGCCACTTGCATGCTACAAAACCTTAACAACATCAGGTTGTTTTCTCCAAGTTCAACTTTACCTTGTCAGGCCGCTAAGGCAGTCTGCAGTGAGCTTAACAGAAAAGCTGCAATTATTTAAATACCGGGGTTATAATGGCTCAGCATCCACAGCGCTGAGCTCAGTCCCCTGACAGAATAAACCACACCTGGTGGCTCATGCCCCTAATCCACTCAGGTAGGAAGATTTGTAGTTCAAGTTCCCTCTGCTACATTGTGAATTCAAAGCTGGGATGAGACTCCCAGCTCCAAATAAATTAGTCTAGAACTAATGTGCTGGATCAAAATTCAGCCCAGATTCATTTCCACTCAGCAGGGCATTCCTCATATACAAGCACGTTTCCCTTGAAGCCCACAGTGGCAAGCAGACGCTATCTAGTGTGTTCAGATGCTGTGGGCGAGTTTGGGAATGGGGAACTTGAACCAGCCCAGACGGAACCTCAACGGTGAGGGGGATCTAGAATAACTGCACATCCGGGGAAAATAATCCACGCCACGGAAGGCACCTGACAGGACAGCACCCATCCTGCCCAAAGGCAGGGCTGGCGCTCAGCGGTGAGGACTGTGAGAAAGGACAGCCCGGGAACTGAGCAGTCCGCCACTAACAGGCACCGCCTCTGTCCAGGTGACAAGGGGCTTGCTGGGCCCGTAGGAACACACGAACTCCACCCTCGTCCTTTTCACACAGGCAGGCACCCCAGAAACCACAAAAGAGACAGAGATGAAGGCGGCCGAAGCCGGCATGATGCGCTCTAGGCAGGCAGCAGTCCGCGCGCGCGCAGCTCAAGCAAAGGCGACAGCGTGTAGCGCAGCCTGCGGAAGACCGCATCCGAGCCTAGACTCGGGAGTCCCGGGCCGATGGCTTCGGGCTTCGCCAGCGCCACGTAGAGCAGAGGCAGCACCAGGAAACCCAGCGGGAGCAGCAGCAGCGTCTGTAGTGCGCTCAGCGCCCACAGCCTGCAGAACCACCAACGGACACATGGGTGCTGGCTCTGAGACCCCGAATCCGCACCGCCAGGACCGCCCCCCGCCAGCCACTCACCTGAGGCTCCCCGAGCCCGCACCGCCAAACAGCCGCTTTTCCTGCAGAGAAAGGGCCGCATACAGCTCTGCGCCGGGGCAGCGGCCAGGCTCTAGCCAAGTCTCTCCCGGAGAGAGCGGGTCACCCGAGGCGGACAGCGCCAGCCCACGCGCCCCAGCCCGCGCTCACGCAGTCAGCCCTGGCCACCTCCTCCATGAGTGAGCCCGCGCAGTCCTGCACCCGACGAGGCTGCGAGTCCCACCTGCCGGACAGGCGCGGAGATGGGCCACCTGGCCCCGCCTGGCGCCTTCTCACCGCCCTCCCAAGTCCCAGCCCTTACGGTTCCGAGCCACCACGCGTAGCCTCCAGAGCAGCCGCTGCCTCCATCACCTTGCCCTGCAGCTCCTGAAGGATGGCGACAGGGACTCAGGGCAGAGGACGCGGTACCAGGGGCTAAGGAAAAAAAGGGTTCGAACCGCGGGGCATTCGGAAGAAACCGCTCTCAAAAGCGAGGGGCCGCACCTGCAGAACGCCACTCTGCTCCTGGAAACTGGCCCACGCCTCTTCCGTCCGCCGAGCGCCCTGGAAGCCGAGGGGCTTGATGAGCTTCCCGCGGTCAGGCCCTCCCCACCAGCCCTCCTCTGAGCGTCAAGCGCCGTTCGCACCTGTCGCAGGTCCTCTGCCTGCATGGTGAATTTGGCCTCTGCCAGCTCCAGATGTTTCTTCGGGAGGACCAAGTGATGTCAAGAACCCGCAGGTCTCGCGCCTCTGTGCCTCCGCGGTTCGGTCCCTGGTCTTCGGGTCCGATGCTCCTCCCACGGTTCCACCCCTGGCACGATCCCGCCCACAGCCACGCTCCACCCACAGCTCCACCCCCGGCCCCGCCCAGGTACCTGCAGCGCCGCCAGCTGAGTCCCGAGCTGCTGCTCCGCTCGTTGTTGGCTCCGCTGTTCACCGCCGTAGTAGAAAAGCTGGAGACGGAGATCGTGAGCGCCAGGTTTATGGGACTTGGCGAGGGCGTGACCTGAGACACTGCACGTACCTGGCTGGACAGCTCCTCCCACTGTTCCTGCAGCTTCTGATTCTGCTGCTCCTGCAGACAGGGTCCGGGCTGGCTAGGTCTCTCCGCCAGCCTCGCCACCCCGGGCCCCGCCTCTTGCTCCTGCCCTCACTAGCTCCAGCCGGTGCTGTTCGGCGGCCTCCAGCAGCCCACGAGCCCGCTCCGCATGCTCCCGTGCCGCCTCGCGCGCCTCCCCTCTAATCGCTCGCGACGCTTGGCTTCGTCTCCGCTGCAGGCTAAATGGGGGGGGGGGGGGGTTGGTCAGGGATTAAACTGGGGCGCGCAGTCCTCCGGGAAGGACCAGCCGCCACCTGAGAGTCCCAAGCTGGGGTCCCACTGCCTCCAGCGAGGGCTGCCCACAAGCCTCGTCTTCGCACCTGCGCTCGCGCTCCCGCAGCTCGTCCAGGCGCGCGGTGAGGCTCTCACTCTCAGCCTCCAGCCCACGCACCAGCTCCTCCAGCTCCTGCTTCCGCAGGCGGCCATCACGGTTGTCCTTCTGCAGCTGCAGCAGCTGCTCCTGCGGTTCAGCCATGGCTTCAGCGCTCCTCCTCGACTCCGCGGACCTCCGCTGCCTGGGTGACCCGGTGGCCCGCGTCACAATGGGCAGCAGGGGGCGCCGGATTCCGACCTGAGACGGTCACGCCCGATCATTCAAATTTTATCAAAGCCCTTCCTGGTACGGCCCCCCCGTCGGTAATCCTATCTTTTGAGGTGTCGGGGACATGAAGATCAGGCGTTCAAGGTCATCCTTTGCTACATATTTATCGAGTTTGAGGCTAGCCAAAGCTACATGAGTACCTGTCTCAAAAAAACACAGCAAAAATATCAGTCACGATCGGATCCGTAGAAAGTTACTAAAGTTCTAAGGAAAGACCGGACATGATGGTTCGTTCCTGTAATACCAGGCTGAGCCGAGGAAATCACCTAGAGCTCAAGATCAGCCTAGCTATACAGCAAGAAGACCCTGATTCAAAAACAGAGAAACTGAACTACCACAGTAAATAATTAAGGGCTAACCTATAGCAGGTGTACCTCGCCTTAGATTCTGAACGACCAAGGCAGGGAATACTAACAGTTTGAAAAAACCGTTTATAATTAAGTTTGTCTGCCCCGTGCTTTGGAAAAATGACCGGTGTGGCTGCAGAGGTGGAGTTTTGCTAGCACGGCGCCTTCCTGAGTAGGGGTGACAGGGCCGTGGAAGAGCGGCGGGCATCTGGTGCTGGAATGTCATGGCATTCTCTCGTCTCCGCGTTTTAAGCTCTAGAAGACCATTATCGATTGGACTTGTGGAGCGGTGTGAGTAGGAAAGTGGGTGATGGCGTTTTGTGACCTGGGGAGTTCTGTTGCCAGCCTCGTCTTGAACTCAACCTGCCTTCACCTCCCTGGTACCGGGTTACACGCGAATTATCACCCTGAGCTTAATAATGTTTTTCTACAATTTGTTTTTATGTGTGTGTGCTACAGGTGTGCTGGTGTCTCGGGAGGACGACAGATGCAGCTGAAGGTGCAGTTCCAGCCCGTTGTAAGCCACCTATGTGGGTGCTGGGAACGAGATTCAGGGTCTCTGGAAGAGCAGCAAGTGGTACCCTGTCACCTTCCACATGGTGATAGAAATCTCTATAAATACAGTGTTCTGCCTACAGGCCAGAAGACGGAACCAGATCACATTGGTGGGAGCCACCATGTGGTTGCCGGGAACTGAACTCAAAACCTCTGGAAGAGCAACCAGTGCTCTTAACTTCTGAGCCATCTCTCCAGCCCTATAAAGAATTTTTTTTAAGATTTATTTATTTATTTTATGTATGTGAGTGCTCTGTCTGTATGTGCACCTGCGTATCAGGAGAGGGCATCCGATCACATTATAGATGGTTGGGAGCCACCATGGGGTTGCTGGGAATCAAACTCAGGACCTCTGGAAGAGCAGTCAATGCTCTTAACCTCTGAGCCATCTCTCCAGCCCTCTCTATAAAGATTTAAAGCTAATTTATTTCATAATTTGGAGGACATACTTTCCCAATGCTATAATAAATATTTAATAAAGCATAGTAGCTTCTTCCTGAGGGAGGCTCAGACAGGAATGTTGCTGAAAATTCAAATCCAGCCTGAGCTACATAGTAAGGCCTTATCTCAAACAACAACAAAAATAAGTGAGCTGAGGATATGAGTTGGCAGAATCCTCGCACACAAGGTGTTAGCTCCAACCCCCAGTACCACACACACAATCATTTCTTTAAAGGACTGTCGGATTGCTCTGGCTAACCTGGAGTTCCCCTGCTCCCACCAATATGTCTCACTAGAAGGCGAGAACATTCGGGCGCTGTGAGCACATTTCAGATTCCAGATTCTGGTGTGTCATCTCATGCACACACAGAATGGAAAACGCCACATCTCTAAAACCGTTGTGGCCCTGGTAACTTTGATTGAACTTGATTTACGTTTGCTGTACTGGGGATGGAGCCAAGTCTCCCCTCTGAGAACCGCACCCTTGGGCTTCCTTCTCTTCCCTTTCCCCCCCCCCCCCCCATTGAGACTCCTCCCTCAGCCACCGCCTACTCTGCAGGCCTTTCCTTCCTACTGGCCTTTGGGCAGCCCCCCTTAATCACTCGGCATACCTGGAGCTTCAGTGTTTATTCCGTTTTGCTAATCTAGGATTCTTTTTTCTTTTGTTTGATTGCTTATTATTATTACCTTTGAGGCAGGGATTCCTGTAGCTCATACTGGCCTAAAACTCAACTGTGCAGCCAAGAATGATCTGCTGCTCCTTACTCTCCCACCTCCCCTGATAGGTGCCAAGATCACAGGCTGCACCTCTGCGGCTGGCCTTTTTCTTAAGGTCGACATGTGTTGCTTTTACAATAAGAGAAAAGTAAGGTTCTTGCTAAGTAACCTTGGCTGGCCCAGGTTGGCCTCCAACTTGTGACGATCTTATCTCTGTGTCCAAAGGCTTGTACCAGCATCCCTGTCTAGAAGTCAGCAGAAGAAATGCACTGTACTATGCTAAAAAAAAAAAAAAAAAAAAAAAAGGTGAAAGTTGAGGCAAGATACAAAATTAGGACATGGGAAAGAAAAGGAACCTTTCCCCATCCTGGAATCTTTCACCAGCAGTCAACATTTGCTGTGGACACACAAATAAAAAATAAACCCTTCACCTAGAGATACTGAGTGCTGATTCGGTGGTGAACTAGGCTTAAGGCCTGACTGTCCATGACCTTGGGTGGGATTCAACAACAACATACACACACAACTTAAGCTTCACTAGTAGCTTTGCATTCCTGTCTCCTCAGCAATAATCCTGTTAGGGGCTCTTCTGAAAACACCCTGTGATCTCAGATCTTAGGCTCCTTGGCCAGGCTTTGAAGATAATAGCTTCAAATCCTACCTGTGACCTTTGTAAAGAATGACATTTGACCCTACCTTAAGAGCCGTTGTGCAGCGGTTTCCTCAGAGAAACTCCTCAAGACTCAAAGTTCTATGGTGAAGCTTAGAATTTAGGACTTAGGAAGTCAAGGGGGTTAAAGGGTTGGTGTTGCACTCCTTTAGTCCCAGCACTTGGGAGGCAGAGGCGGGCAGTAGGCTCTTGAGTTCTAGGCCAGCCCGGTCTACAGAGTAAGTTCTAGGACAGCCAAGGCTACACAATGAAACCCTGCCTCAAAAAAAAAAAAAAAAAAAGGAAAAGGAAAACAAAAGACTCAGAATGTTCCTGAAGCTTGGCAGAGGCAGGAGACCCTTCCTCAAGGTTACCAGGGTAGCAAGGCCTCCTGAGGAGACAGAGGCCAGCCAGGCTGCCTGGAGGAGGTTCAGCTGTCCCACCTGCTGTGCCCCCCCCCCCCCGCAGTGCGCCCCAGGTTTCCAGCGTTTGTGATCTGCTGCCCACTCCGGGTGGGCCTTGGAAGGCTCAGCTGTCTTTGAGCCATCTCTGCTCCTCGTAGGTAACCCAAATAAGCTCACTGGTTCACCACATTGGGCTTTGGCCGTGTCCAGACTTTGGCTTGCTTGTCGTTGGCCCCCATCTGAGGTCAGAAGACATTTGCTCACATCTCCCAGGGAATGCTCCCACAAGAAACTCCCACGTTCACACGTAGCTGCACCTTGCTTCTTTGAGGAGCCCACACCTGCGCTCTGAGGTGAGCCCTTCCCAGCACTTCAACTTACCTTACTCCTCACGCTTAAAGTCTGTATTACTATCTTAGGCTAGTGACATGCTCAACAAGATAAGCCCCTCTCTCAGAACCACAGTGAGAGACCGCTCCAGTTGTCCTCCGACTTCTACACATGGAGGCCATGGAACACGTGTGCCACTCCCAACATCAAAGACACACAAACAGCAAGCTTAATTTCATTTAATTTTTAATGTATATGGGTGGTTTTGTTACTTATTTTGGTTTGTCGTATCCTGAACTCACTCTGTAGACCAGGCTGGCCTGGAATTCACAGAGATCTGCTTGGCCCTGCCTCCCCGAGGGCTGGGATTCCCGGTGTGCGCCACCACGCCCTGCTGTGTTTGGGTGTTTTTTTCAGCATGCTCCTGCATCATGTACCTGCAGTGCTCACAGGTGCCAGAAGAGGGCACCAGATCCCCTGAAATGAGTTACAGGTGGCTTTGCGCTGGAATCCAACCAAGTCCTCTGGGATGTCCTGTTAACTGCTGAGCCATCTCTCCAGCCCCCCAGCTTTGCTTCACACTGGCCAATCCTGCAATAGTCAATGGCCTGAGCTGAGGTCCCTAAAAGATGAATGGAGACTCCTCAGTGACAAAGAAGCTGTGCCCCCTTCACCATCTCCCTTGACAACAGCAATGGAGGACTCAGCTGGCTCACCTTTGTCCACAACTTAGGAAATTGTGGCCATTTCCTGGCTACAGACTCAGGCCACAAACACCTTATACACAATGACACAGGCTGTCATTGTTGCTGGCCAGATCTGGCCCCAGGCTCCCTTCAAAAGGTAAAGGACTGCCTGGTCTGAGGATTTTCTCCCTGCGACCTAGGGATCATCTCCTGCCTGGAAGGGGATCATCAGTGCCCCAATCAGTACTAGAAGGCTGTAGTTGCTGGAAAAATGGTCAGTCTTCACCCTCCATAAGAGGACACCTTATTTCCTCTCTGGACACGTTAGCATTCCTCACTGCTTTCTCGTGCCTTCACCTTACCCACGGTTGGTTCTAAACTCTCTCCCCACTGTGACAAACATCTCAACCTGCCCTCCTCCATGTTCACCTCCACCAGGGTACCCCCAGGGCAGCTTCCGTAGACCTTGCACAGGCCCAGGACTCCCTTTGCTGCTCCCGCTCTGATTGCTGCAGCCTCATGCACAGCCTTCACACTAGCCTGTCCCCAGTTCTGTTGCAAACCACAGACCCATCTGTCCCACAGACTTCTCACTTATGAGTGGGAAGCCCTGGACTCAGCCTACTGTGACCTGCCTACTGTTTGCCCAACTCAGGGAGATCCACTTGACCCCATGATTGAGGAGGAGGATTGAGGGGCATAGTCCTGAGGAGAGTGTTAGCTGCCCCGTGCCACCCGCTTCTAACATCGACATAGCTTCAGACTGGACCACTCCAAACTCCCTACTAAACCTCCTAAACTGTTCCGGTTCCTTGGCTGTGACTTCTCGGAACACAAGTTCAAGTCAGTGCTCACTGGGCTCTAAGGTACAAGGACCTACTGCCTGCTGCTCCCTCGTCTCCCAGCACCACAAAACAACCCATCCTGCCCAGTTCGGTCACTGCACCCTTGGTGGGTGGCACTGGGCAGCCACGGGAACTCGGCTGGGATGGTGACCAGAACAGAAGACGACGACGCTGTATGTACAAACAGATTGGCTGCTTCTGCTACAGAAACCTGGCAAGCTGACTGAGGACAGAGGCTCCTGTTAGGAGAAGCTAGTATTCAAAGCCAGGCAGATGTGCCCTCAGGATTCCCCTACCTCTTCTCAGTACCCCTAACTCTCCCTGCAGTGACACAGCTGGGCATCTGTAAGGCCCACAGGGCCACTGGTTATCAAGGCAGGTGAGGGCCAGCCGAGCAGCCATCACTTTTTTCCACTTTAAGTCTCAGTAGTGTTTCCTATGCCTACCAAGGATGCTAGAGGCTGGTTGCAGCCTCCTACCTTAGGCTGTCTGAATATGACTTGACCCCACGCCATAAGCAGGTCATGGAGTTGAGGATTGTGGAGAATACACTGGGGAAGGACAGGAGGATCTGGACTCTGACCGGCCTCTTCAGCACCTAAGCCACACCTCACGAACCCCACTGCAGGCCAGTGGGCCAGCACTTGCAGCCTGTCACATGCCCAGATAAACCACCCATGTTCCCGTGCACCGGAGCTTGGGCTACACCTGCCCTCCAGTGGCCACTCCAGGCAGGTGGTGGTCTCATCTGCCATCAAAGTGAGTGTTATCTGTGGGCAGAGTCTCCAGGGATGTCACAATAATGGCAAGAAGGTGCTTGAAACTGTCGTCACCAAAGTCAAGCCTGGCTTTTACAGTCTCTCTGTGTGAGGGAGCATATGCATACCGCACAGCACACGTGACAGGCAAAGGGCAGCCTGCTGGATGTCTACTCTCTCCTTCCATTCGGGGAGGCCCAGGGATCACCCCCAGGCTTCGGCAAGCCCCTACACCCACCGAGCCATCCCAGCAGCCTGCAACGTGGCTTTCAAGGCCCTTTATTGAGCCAGCTGGTGTCCTATGCACCACCCAAGAGTCTAGCAAATGCCAGATAATTACCACCGTCCTTGTATGCAATGTTCTTTCCCCAGGACACCAACCCAGCTGCTCCTGCACCTAAGAAGCTGTAAAAGTATCTTTTATTTGCTAGTTGTCTCTGAGGCATACTGCCTCTGTCTGCTGAACTAGGCCTAGCTAGTCCTGAAAGCTTCCAGCCTCCATACAATCTGATCTAGGCCTAGAGTGTTTTCAGCCTCTGAGACTGCTGAATAAACTCACCCTTTCTAGTTCTTGCTGAACTCTGGCTGGCTGGTTCAACTCAGCTGTTCTGGCTCAAACTCCTCTCCCAGTTGACTGATTTAATCTGGCTTCTCTCTCCACCTCTGACTGAATTGCTCTGCTTGCCTTCAAACTTACTCTAGCAATCTGCTCTAATCTTCTGGCTCCATTCTCTGGCTTGTTCTCTCTTCAGTCTGTCTCTGTAAAACTCTCCAGGAACTGAACTGCCATGGACTCAACTCCACTGCACTGCCTTTGAACTCACTGTCAACCAAGCTGAACAGCGCTGACTGGAACTCAGAGATCTGCATGACCCTGTCTCCTGGATTAAAGGTGTGTCTGTATTCCAGCTGGATCACACAGAAGTCTTTGGACGTGATCTCTTCCCAGAGCAGCCATGTTCTGAATTAAAATTTCTCTACAAAGAGCAACTCTGAGTGCCCTTCTAATTCTAAAGGGACACTAGAGGCCTATAGTGCAGAGGTCAGCAGCATCAGGGCTGGCTGCTTCCAGGTTCTCAGCATCTTACTCAGGATTTAAGAAAAAGTACCAAAGTACCAAACTCACAGCGACAGTACAGAGTGGAGAGGAATGTGAGATCACAGGCAGCTAGATGAGGGAAGGTTCGCAAGGACAGTAATCTTGGATACAGTGAAGCTAGTTGCTGAGGGGCATAGTTGGGATGGTTCTCCATTTCAACTGACAGGCTGAAAGGTGTATTTACGTTATACATGCAGGTAAGCCTGTCCAGCGCATTATTAGAAGAGGGGTCACACAGATCACACCACAGCTTGCATATAGCACTTTCTAACATAGAAGCCAGCAATGCCGGCTCCTTGGTGCTGGCCTGAAGGCCACACCAGGGACACCCTGAGGTGATCAGCTTTACCTGTAGTCAGAAAGAACTGAAATTAATAAGTTGGCCTGGGAAGGGGGTTAGCACAGCACGACTGTCAGTTAAGGTGTACCGATGCCACACCTGCAAGGTTCACACTGGATCCTGGGAATGAGACATTTGGAAGTTCCCTTTGGGGGTTAGGGAAGTGAGAAGTGAAGACATATGAGGGCCCGAGTACAAATCCCCAGAACCCACATAAAGCCAGATGTGTGCATTTGTGTGAAGTCCCAAATGTGTGCATTTGTGTGAGAAACTGGGAAGAATCCCTAGAAGCCAGTCATGTGTTCACAGCAGCCAAGGATTTTAATTAAAAAATGCCTCCAACAACGTGGAAGGTGAGGACTAAAGCGAAAGGCTCTCCCTGCCCTCCACACACAACCTGGCTCACACAGTCACCACACCCACGGTGACACAGGCCTGTGTATACAGAGGGAGACAGAGCCAGACGGAGGGGAGGGGTTAAAAAGCAAGCTTCAGGGCCTGGAGATGGCTCTGTGGTTAAAAACACTTACTGCTCCTGCAGTAGCAGGACCAGACATTTATTTCCCCCACTCCATTTTGGGGGCCGGGGGGGGGTCACAGAAGAAAGACCAGGGTGGAAGGACCTAGCTGTGGTGCTCTAAGCAAGGTGTGCTACATAGAGCTCTGACCCCAGCACTCCCGAGAGTTCGGGAAGTGGAGATGAGGGTCAGAATTATGCTCTCCTCAATTATGAGGGGAGAGAACAGCCTGGAAGACATGGGATCCTAAGAAGAGTGCCTTGCTGATGGGACAAACCTTCAATCCAAGCATTCAAGAGGCAGAGGATCTCTTTGAGGCCAGCCTGGGTTACACGGGGAGTCTCAGAAAGAAAAATACCTCTTAATCATATAGTCCCACCAAGCACTGTTGCTTCCTCCCAACCTTGCTCCCTTCTGTTAAGTGACACTGTGTGGACATCCTTTACTGCAGGTTAGGCTTCGGCCCAGGCCCTGCGGGGAAGGACACTAGAAAAAAGGAAGCTACCCTATCCTGAACCATCCTCACCACTGAGTAGCCCCTTTAGAAGTGGGGTGCAGGAGCTTGTCAAAAGGCTCTTCAAATAGCCCCAGGAAAGAGCTGTTTTAAAACTCCTAGAGCATAGAGACTGGGCATAGCTCAGTGTAGAGAGTCTGATCACTACACATAAAACACCTTCACCTCCAGCACTGCAAAAGAAAACTAAAGGAAACCTTGACAGGAACCAGCTAAGATCATGTTTTTGGAGTGAGGGAAATGTCCTTAAGCTATGCAAGAGAGAGTTGAACTGATCACCAAAAATTTTTAAAGTTTTGTGGCTGAGAGATGGTTCAGCACCTAAGAACACTGGCTTCTCTTCCAGAAATCCTGAGTTCAACACCCAGAAACCACCTGGTGGCTCACAACCACCTATAATGGGATTTGATCAACTCTGTTTTGCATATGTACATGACTGAGGAGCTTTTGTATATGACAGACTTCATTTACATAAAGTACATAAAAATGTGTCTTAAAAAACGTTTTCTTAGGAAACAGTCATCGGGCTGGCCATTTAATCCCAAAAATGGGAAGCAAGAGGCAAGAGAACCTCTGAGTTCAAGCCCATCCTGGTCTACAGGACAAGTTCCATGGCAGAGAACACTATCTCAAGAATGGATCGGGGTTCAGGAGAGAGAGAATACATGCATGCAGATAAGGCAGGCATACACACAGCACTTGGAAGGATACAATTCACCCTCAACTCTCAATCAGAAGACCTGGACTCCATACACACACCACAGCACTCACAGAAAGGCCAAGCCACACACACAGAAGGAATTAAGACCTCACCCCACACTGAGACAAGGTTTCTCTGCGTAGTGCTGGCTGTCCTGGAACTGCAGATGGCCCTGCCTCTGGAGTGCTGGGATCAAGGCTGTGTTTCACCACACCCAGCAGAAACTACTTTCTTCACATGAAAAGGCAGGAGCCAGGAGCACCCTAGTGAGAGGACTTGTCTAGCTGGATTCAACCATGCTCAGGACAGTTATTTTTAAATCTTTAGAAATTTGAGCTAAAGAGCTAGCTCACTTGTTGCTCCTGCAGAGGACCCCTGGTTTGGTTCCCAGCACCCACATGGCAAATCACAACCATCAACTCCAGTTCCTGGGTGTGAGGACACCAATCACACACCTAACATACTGACACACACATAAAAATAAACGCAGCTGACTGCTGAGGCACAGGCCTTTAATCTCGGTCTTCAGTAGTAAGAACTAGGCTCTTTGTAGCCCTGACTATTCTGGAATTCACTCTGTAGACCAGACCGACCTCAAACCTGCCTCTGCTGGGATTAAAAGCACGGACCACCACTCTCGGGGCGAGGCTGAGTCAGGTTCTTTTGAGCCATCCCACCTTGTAAGAGCACACTCGAGGAAACCTATGCCACAAGCCCAGCCATGGGGAATCACTTGGATAAAATCGAGTTTTAAAGCCTACCAAAATTTGGGGCAGCAACACTGGAGACTAGACCTACCAGGAGAGCTCCCGCCAACTGGGTGGGGGTAACGAATGCCTGCGTTAGAATATAGAATTCCAGGACAATCAGGGCTACAATTCAAAGAGAAATCTTTGGGAGAGTAGGGGGGGAAAGACAGACAGGTAGGGAAGGAGAGAGGGCTCTTATCTTGCCCCAGCCCTTTCCAGGTTACAACCATGGTCCTGGGCACTGGCCACACCTCATCTCAGCCACTGTCCTTTATCTGCTTTCTAGACAGCCTCAGCTAACTTGAGCCAGTATCACTCCAACCATGCCCACAGCTGAAAAATTCCCCAGCCACCAGTTTGTCCCAGGTCCTGCTTAAAGACCTGGAGGCACCTTGTCACTTTGCCAGACGTTATGACCACAGGACAGACTCCACACCAGTTTTCAATCAAGCTTTTAATGAAAAGATCATAAAATAACAGTTTCTCATCACTGTACATTAAGACTGCACGCTTTTGAATGGAGATCAGTCTTGATAAATCACTCTGACACTGGAGGGCTGCATAGCTGCAGCTCTGACCTGAATGCATCCATCCAAACTCTTTAGGGAAGTAAACTCAATTCAATGTGATGAGTGGCAACAGTGGCGACCATACAGGAGTGCGATCCCAGCATCCCTCCCCTGCTCCAGGAAGGGCAGAAAGGACATGATCCCTCTTCCAGTTCCAATTAAATGAAACAGATATACCCCATCCCTCCTGAGGTATTTGCAAATGGGATGGATAGAGCCCAACCTGGGGCTCCTGGAAAAAACGAGTGATGGGTTAGGTACAGGGAGGTTCCTTTCAGCACCTGGACCCATGGGGCCCCACCAAGTGGAGGGGAGGACCCTGGGAATTCTCCCTGACCCAAGTGAGGTCTGTTATGCAGCATTTTTGAGGTCAATAAATTACAGCAATAAATAGCAAGGTGAGGTAGGGAAGGGGTCCCTGGTAGAGTTAAAGTAAGCAACTGAAGCTGCAGGCCTCCTAGGATGGGGATCCTGGGCAGCACAGCTTCCACCCTTTCCCGGGTCGGAATGTCAGACTGAGGTTGGGTCCCTCTCTAGCCCTCATTCCTGGCATCCATTTCATAGGTTCAGTAACATTGGCCCCGCAGTGACTGGGGAAAGGAAGCCCTTGGTCCCATTAGTGGAGCACAGCAGGGCTTTGAGAGCCTGTCTGTTCTTTTCAGGCCACGCCCCTTAGCTTCTGCCTTCGTTCACAGCACTTGCTCCCTGAGGCCTGACCTCCCGGCTGCCCAGGATTTCCCCTACTCACGAAGGCAGCAGTCTGCCTACTGACAGCCCAGCAGATCGCACTCCTGCACAAGGACCTGAGGTCCAGTGAATACTGACAGTGTGGGCAGCAGGTGGAGACCTGGCTCCCCTCAGTTGTGATGGACGGAAAAACACACTTCTGGGTCCTGTGAGGTCAGGCATCACAGGCTGAGGTGTATGGCTATGCTGCAAGTCTGAGATCCTTATGTGGTATTCACAAGTTCATCTTTTCCTTTTTTGCAACCTTGGAAGAGCCCTTGCAGTAGCTCGGTCCGGTGGGAGTGGGCACTGGCAGAGCCGGGCCTGCTTCCACCAGCTTGCCCTAAGTCTGAGAAATAAATACATTCATCACTGCACAAACATTGATACAAAAACAACACTGTTGAGAGTGTTTGCACCATCTGTTGGTAAGGACCAGACTCAAGTCAGCCCCTTCTGCTGCCCAGGTAGGGCGTGTGCAAGATGGAGTCCGCTGAGCTTCCTAAAGCTCCCTGTGTTTTGGCCCGAGTGACTCTCACAGTAACACAAGGCGCATGGGCAGGGCCAACATTCAACCCTTGGGTTCAACCAGGAGCCTAGGGGCTGGTCAGCGTGGTGCACGCTCTTTGGTGGCAGCTGAGCTTGAAGAGGCCCCCAAAATGGGAATGAGGGCTCAGGAGAAGCTAGGGGAAACTTCTAGTCCTTACCCAGCACCCAGGGCTGCCTCAGAAGGACCCAGGTGGGAGGGGAGAGTTCCCTGGGGCTGGCGTTATAGCTGCTGAGGTCTGAAACTGTAAAAGTTTATGTAAACAATGAGATAAATATATTAGTATCTTTTCTTCTGAGCCCACTGAGGTTCCATACTCATTCAAAATGTGCTTTGGTTTAAAAAATAGGTTTTGTGAATTTGGGTATGAGCTTTTTTTTTTTTCTTTTGATTTTTTTTTAATTTTTCCTACATGACATCTGCTATTTTCTGTTTCCTGTTTCTCCAAAACATTCAGAAATTACATGACTAAAACAGAGAACTGTAAGCCGCCTTGGCCTCTTATGGCCTGATTTCCTTGAGGCTCTTAACATCTCCACACACACTCATACACACACACAGACACACAGGCAGAGACACTCAAAAGCATGCACCAGTGGAAACAAAGGAAAAAGAAAACAAACCCCACCCATCCCAACAACCCTTAAAATCTTAAATAGGAAACTAGTGTTTTGTTTTCTCATTAAAATACAGAAAAGGTTTGGTACAATACTAAGGTGGATACAATACTCTGTCGAACAGACATGCTGAGTGAGGGGCTCTGCTCCCAGTCCCTGAATTTTCTGTAGATGTGGCTGCCCAAATCCTGGGAGGCCACACAGGGTTCCCATGCCATGCAGACCTTGTGGTTTAAGTGCTGGTGAGGTGGGTATGGTGGGGTGGGTGGGTGCAGAGGCTAGCACGCTCTGCCAATTCCCTTGGTGAAATGGCACCTGGGTCTTCATTACTTGATTACAAATCAAGTAATCCAATTTAAAAAATGGGGTACAGAGCTAAACAGAGGTGTTGAGTCTGATTCGTAAGAGCAAAGAAGCGAGATTTACAGGCACGGGGTAATGAAGAACTGGCTCAGTGCAAGGGCACTGCGTGTGGGCCTGGCCAGGTTGCCTCACTCCCATACCTGACACTGGGTACTGAACTCAGACTAGGGGGTCTCTGGAAAGGTGGAGGCTGGAATTTTTTGGTCTGAAGTAAAAATTGAAAGGAAAATGAAAGCCATGAAACATGATAAGGTCAACAGACCCAATTCTGTAACTCATCTGGGCAGAGCACAATCTTGGTCTTGCCTTGCCCCTTGCTGGAGCCCATGCAAACATCTGAGGCTGGCCGACACCCATGTAGAGGTTAGCTTTGACCCTAATACTGGCTAAGTCCTTAGGTGGAGGGCAACTCTTACCTCTGGCTCTGCAACGGGCTACTAGATATACCTCAGAGCTCAAAAGGGCACAGGCCAGGGCTCACTTCCACCTTACCCTGACCCATGCAGAGAGCTGCTCCCTCCTCATGGCTTCGGTCACTCAGGTGCCCAGCACCTGCCCCCTTCCCCACAGCATACCCTGGGCAGCAGACATCCCTTCAGAGAACACTGGGGGCCACAGAGGCTCGGGCCAGCCCAAGCCCAGCTTACTCCCACTATTAAAAAAACAAAAGCAAGTAGCTCAGCCTCAACTGTACTATGGTATTGGATTCAAGAGGTAGCAAAGGTCAGAAGGCTCTCCACCTTGTTCAGTGAGCAAGGAAGTGAAGCATCTGTGCATAAGCAATACATACACACGCGCGCGCACACACACACACATATACACGAGTACCGATGGCCCTGGCACAAGTCTAGCCTCCCCTCCACCCTCTGAGAGTTCACACCTTCCAGTTTCAACATCTCTAGAAGTTACATGAGGGTGGGGGTTCTCAATAAAAATAAGTACCTCTAACAAGGGAAATTATGGAAAAAGCGTGTTCTCCTGAGGAAATCCAGGAAGGCAGGGCTCAGGATCAGGGAAGCCTTTGGGCAAGAAGGGCTTCTGGAGCCTTGGAGAGGCAGGTTCAAACATGCCCAAGCACCAGGACTAGGGAAAATGACAGGGAGGGACAGCTGCCTCAGTTACATTCAGTCTGCAGACCCAGGCTCATCCCTAAAGAGGCAGGAGGAAAATATTGTTCATTTTGGTTTTTAAAAAAGAACTCTTAAAAACTGTAAAAAAGAAATAGGAACAGCTCAGTAGGAATAACAGCACTATAGGCCCAGAGGGCTCTTTAGTTGTAGAGAGGTAGGCAGTGGGGTCACCCTGACTGTCCCAGTGCCAGCTAGCAGAGAAAGCAACTGCCACCCAGCACCGGCTCCCCAACACCAGAGTCACACTGCACACAAGCACACATGCACACACACGCAGGCGAGGTCCCTGCCAGCTCATGGCCTGCTCCAGGCACCACTTTTGGCCACAGGAAGCCTTGTGCCTCCCCCAGCCCAGCCTGCAGGAAAGGGACCAAGCAAGTCCCACGGACACCCACCCACGTGACGGACTCCCACCTGGCTCCTCAGCAGCCTCTCCAGGGAGCTGGGGAACCAAGTGGGACCAGAGAGGTAGAATAGTCACAGCACCACATGCACAGGGCTAGACCGGTCAGCTTCTCTCCTCTCGGCTTCCCTTGGTACACTGTTGGTTAAAGCTCTGGGTGTGGAAAGGCTGGGCCAGAGGGGCTGCCGGGAGCCTCGTACTAGACTTTGGGGCTCAACCCTCCCACCACCACCCTTCCCCACTTCTCCTTCCGTGGATTCCCAAGTGGCAAGTCTGCAGAGGGCTCCCGCGGGTCTTTGGCTTCTAGGAAGGGGAAGTGTGCATGCGCAGGTGGCTGATGAGGTTGCGCTGTTGGGTGAACTTGCCCCCACAGAGCTGGCACTCATAGGGCTTCTCACCTGAGTGCACACGCATGTGCTCTGTGAGGCGGTACTGGCGGGTGAAGCGCATGCCACACTCATCACAGGCAAAGGGCTTCAGGCCCAAGTGGCTGCGCATGTGGCGTGTCATAGTGCCTCGCTGTGTGAACATCTTGCCACAAATGTTGCAGGGGAAGGGACGGGTCAACCAGTGTGTCTTCTCATGTTGCCGCAGTGTGGCTGGGTCCTTGTAGGTCTTCTCACAGACGGAGCACTTGAAAGGACGCGGCTCAGCTGCGTAGGCAGCACTGGGCGTTGACAGGTCCTCAGCCTCCTCCTCCGCACCCCCACTGCCGGTCTCATACGCCCCTTCTTCCTTGATAAACAGCTCCTCCTCTGTGTGTGTCTCCACGTGCGCATTGAGCTGCTCAGAGCTGGGGAAGCCCTTGGCGCAGGGAATGCACACATAGAGGTTGTCCCCATACGACACCGTCTCGTAGCCTTCCTGCCGATACACATAGTGGGCGCTAGTGTGGCCACTGCCCCCCTCGCTCCCACTCTGCCCACTGTCCTCACTCCCATCTTTGCCATTCTCCTCCTCCTCCTTGCAGGGGTACGGCGGCTCCCCATATGACCCACTGGGGCCACCTCCACCAACACTGCTAGCCAGAATGCCATTGGGAACCCTGTCCCCAGACCCCTCGCCTTCCTCCCCTGGGCAAGGACCTTTAGTCCCCGTTTCTCTCCGATCAAAAGGAGACCCAGCCGCGGGCTCCTTCTTGTTCCAATCTTTTTTGCGGGCTAAATGCCGGAGGCTCTTGCGAGGCTGCCCACCCTGCCCTTCCAGCAGACTCAGGTGGTTTTCCTCAGGCCCTTCCAGATCCATGGACTCATCAGGAGTGGCCCGCAGCTCAACATACGAGGCACTATTGCCAGCTGGCAGGGTGGAGGTTGAAGCGGGTGCAGGTGATTCACGCTGGCTGTCACTCAGCTGGGCAGGGTCCTCAGGAGTGAGGTGTGGGCCAGGGGTTGTAGGAGGTAAGGGTGGGCTCTTCTTGGACAGGTCCAGACCCAGCTCCTGTTCACAGCCCCCACTGCCATTGGTGCTGTTGCTACAGGTCCCCAGCCCTACCTCCCCACCAGCTGAGCAGCCCCCCAAGCCCAGGCCATGTGAGCTCTCCTGGGCGGAACTGCCCAGAAAAAGCTCATCATCTGAACCTTTGGCCTGAGGGAGCTCCTGGGAAACAGAGTGTCCTTTGTGCCCATCTACAAGCCCTGGATACCGAGCCTGGATGACAGAGGCTGTGGACAGCCGCTGGCTGCGGGTTGGTCGCCCCATGCCAGCAGTACCCACTCGTCCAAGGCCAAAGGGCTTCCCAGCTCGCTTCAGTTTCCGGCGGCAGAGGGCTGCCAACTCAGGCAGCTGGAGGTAGCTGGCAGCAGTGAGGAGAGTGCTGAAGTTTGGCTCAGATGGCTGGTCGCTAGGCAGCAGCTTGCCCGTGTAGATGAAGTCCAGTATCTGCTGGAACACACTGGAGCTGACCATGTCCGTGTCCAGGTTGATGAGGTTGTCATGCAGGACCAGGGACTTGAAGTAGATGCTGCTAGCAGCCAGGACATTCTTGTGGGCCCGGAAGATAGAATTCTCCACCATGATGATAACATCACACAGGAAGCCCTTGGTCCTCTGCTGGTTCAGCTGCAGCAAGAGCTGTTTTGAATGGCTGGGAAGCTCCATGTCGGGCCCCATGTCCCTGCGCCCTGCCCACGGGCACCACCTGGGGGCAAAAACAGGCAGGACCATTAACCCAAAACCTCATGATGGCCTGGCACAGGATATACACTGATTCCACTCCCGACTCCACCCCCCTGGGGGACAATGCGTAGGAGAAAGGAGAATGTATATTCCCATACCCTGCTATTTACTCACATAGAAAAACCAGATTATAATAAACAAAGGCACCAGGCCAAAAAAAAGGATTTATAGGCTGGAGAGAGGCTTAGTAGTTAAGAGCACTTGCAGCTCTTCACAACAGACCCTGAGTGGGGAGGTGCAGAGCTGTCTGTAACCCTGGTTCCCAGGGATCTGATCCCTCTCTATGACCCCCGCAGGGAGCAGGCGCTCAAGCGGTGCACATGCACACATGCAGGCAGAACATTCATACACAGAAAATACATGTACAAATATTTTGACGGTGCTTGAGTTTTACTTGGTTACTACTTCAGTTATAAAAGAAGTCAACCACGGGCTCAGAGCACTATGTGAAGAAGCTACAAAACGACCAGCAGGTGGCTCTGGAAGCCAGAGAGCAACAACTCTAACGAGTAGGGCCATGAAAGCCCTGCCCAGGCTTGCAAACCCACAGGACTGGTCTTCCCACATTTCCAGATTTTTTGTGGGTAATATCCTTATACTAAAAGATTAAAAATTTAAAAGATAAAAAAGCAAAAAAAACCAGAAACAAAGCAACCATGAACTAAACCAAGTTCCTTTGCTAATCTCTGGCCTGCAACCTTTGCTCTACCTGAGATGCCTCTAAAACACCCCTCCGGGCAGCCAAGACTTCCTTGTTTGCTAACTCCTTGTCCTGACCCTGATACCGTATCCTCTCTCCCACTCTCTGGAGACACTGGGAACTGGGAATCTCACTGGCTCTATGCCCTTTCTATTTGCCACTTGGAGCCTGGGACCTGTAGCAAGCTGGTCCTTGCAGACAGGCTGCACAGACTCTAGCTGCGGTGACTAAATAATAAGCACACAGGTCCCTAGTCTACATAGGAATCTGTCAGCAGAGCAAGTGTGTCCAGGTGGGGTCCAGGCAGAGAAGCAACTCAGCCAAGCAGGGCAGAGCCCTCCAGGAGAACAAGCTTGGCAAAGCATCCCAAAGGCTCCAGGAGGTCAGAAGCGGCATTCCACATAGACCTGAGCTCACTCCTAACTCTACACAGCCAGCCTTGCCTTCTACGCAGCAGCACAGGGGCCACGTCAGTGTCCAAGGAGACACCCAAGGTTTCAGGAGACCACAAGGCATGGAGACGCAGCTGCCAGCTATACAGTGTCAGGACCCACAGGCAGAATCTGGAGGCTCCAGCAACTTACACAGATAACTCTGCACCTCCCAACTCGGGGTCTTTTTCGTTCTCTTTTTGAGATAGGGTCTCCCTCTGCAGCCCCACGTAGCCTGGAAATTGATATGTAGACCAGGCTGGCTCGGACTCACAAGAAATCGACCTCCCTCTGCCTCCAGCGCACTAGTATTAAAGCAATGTGCTGTGTACCGTGCCTGGCTTCTTGGGTCCAATTTGAGTAGTTAGCTGAACTACTCTGAAGCCCACCACCACCCAAGATGTCCTGCCCTTTCCATGAAAGGCTCCCAGTCTTGTCTTCCACCGAGATGGGCCTGCTATGGCTTCCCTCTTTCTTCCATAAACAGAGATTCTCTTCAGCCCAATATCTATCCTTATTCAGAGAAGAAAACCTTAATAATCGAGCCCACTGTGAGTAAACAAAAATGTTAAAGGAATGCTACCACTCCGACAGAAAGCACCTGCCAGAGAAATCTGCCTGCTCCTTGCCCACAACAGCTGAAAGGGTGCTAAAAGGCTGGAGACAGTGAAAACCAAGCCTTCACTGACGGGTAGGTGGAAACAGCCTAAGGTGTGGTTTCTACATCAGGCTCTAGGTATCAGCAGAATGGCCATGGCAGTGCAGCTCTGCAAGGAATATTACCTGGTACCTCGGGCCTACCAAGAGAAACAAAAGGGAGGCTATGTGCCCAAGTCCCATACGCTGCCTGCCTGTACTGCACAAACAATAGACTATAGGGCAGGACACAGCCTATACTTCAGAGCTGTATGAGAGACCCAAAAAACCCAAGGGCTGGAAAAGCAGTGGTGATTGTTCCTCTCTCAGGCGTACCGGAGTGCCAGGGGCCCAGAAACCATGTGAGCAGCAGCCGGCGGGGGTGGCCTCCTTGAGCACGCAGACTTCCTGAGGGTGCATCAAAGCCTGGTTACCTGGGGAGAAGAAGGCAGGTATCAGTGGGGGGGGTGGGGGGTGGGGAGGAAAAGGAGAAGAACATGAAGGAGGAGTCTCTACTTCCAAAGAGGCCAGGAGACCTATATCAGGTATGAGCAGCTAGGGGGCATTACCTTGCCCCTAAAGCACATTGTAGAAAACCAATGCCTTTAATCCCAGGACCTCTAATCCCAGCACTACCAGAGACAAGTGGGCATCTGCACATTCACGGCCAGCCTGCTCTACATAAGAGGGTTCCGGAACAGTCAGGGAGAGAGAAGAGGAGAGAGAGAGAGAGAAGAGGGGGGGAGGAAAATACCCTGGGGGCCATCTTGGGAGGCTAAAGGCAGGCACAGCTGGGTGGCAGGAGGCTAGGGCAAGGCTGGCCTTATTTACATAACAAAAGGTCAAATGGAGCCACTTGTGGAAGGGCTATTTATAAGAGCCAATCTGACTACACTGCCTCCTTTCCCTTCTTTCCTTGGCAACAGGGCTCTTCTATCTAGAGGCGCAACCCAGCAAAATAGCCAACAGCAGCTCCCAAGTGAGGGACGCTCCCACTACCACCACTCTGGGTCCTACAGGAGGTGGAATCTTGAGGTTCTGGGTCCCTGTACTCCATACAGAACAGCGTGGTCTCCGCTGGAACAGGCAAAGAGTAGAAGGAGCCTGTAGCAGCCAGGAACCCATCTCTGACAGCCCTTCCCCCACACCATCCCTAGGGCCATGAGGGCAGGTCCCTCAGGAATGTGACCAGACCTGGGGTGCAGGCCTTAGGCTGAGAGGCCTCAATTCTTGGCTTCAGGCTGTCAGCTGTCACTCCAGCCTTTGGAGCAGCTCCCATTTCAGAGTGGGCTCATTATCCCAAAGGCTGCAGAACAAAGAGGCAGCTCTGGAGCTCCAAGTTTAATGAGCTGGTTACCCAAGAGAATAATGGACAGAAGAGGAGCCAACAAAACTGGAAAGATGGATACCAATGACCAGAGGGAGCCACGAAATGCATCTTAGCCAGCTGGACAGACACCTCAGACTAAACCAGGCCCCTGCTCAGCCTTCTGCCACAGTATTTGCCAAATCCTGAAACCACAAAGATTGGGACAGCGAGTAGACACCACTCAGGAGTGCCTACTGCGCAGCCCTGCCAGGCACTTGCCCAGTCCAGGTTTGGCTAAGTGACTGACCAAGGTCTAGCAAGAAAAAGAATAATGACTCTTTCTGTGCCCTCCACCAGAGGGAGGTGGTACAACCCCTATTGACAGCCCAACTCAGATCCTATCCCCACCCCATGGTGAGTTCCTGTTGTCTAAAAAGCATTGTTCTTTTCTTCCCAATCCAAATGATGGCCAGGTATCTATAACCTACCTACTTTTCTCGGAGAAGCTATAGCCTGGAAGACAAGGACTGAGAAACATGCCTAGATCAGCAGCCCAGGAAAAGCAAGACACAAAGCTACCTAAAATAGGGTGTAGATAGAGGCTAATACCCAGCAGCTCCAAACAGGTGCTGTTGCCTTTAACGGAGAATAAGAAGCCTGGCCCAAGAGCACTGCCCGCCCAGAACAATAGCAACTCTAGGCATCTGTGGCAGGTGACCTTGGATCTAGGGGTTGACCAAAACAAACCCTTCAGGGGTCCAGAGAAAGATTAAGAGAAAGCCAGCACAGAAACTGCCCTCTTGTCTAGGAACTCCAAGCTTCCCCTGTGGGTGGGCCCCAGCAAGTCCAACCTCCACAGGCAAGGCCCAGTTTGCTCTACTGTAAACAGGAGTAGAAGGAACACAATTCTGGGTTAGCGCCACATTAGACACCAGCACATGGCCTTGCTGACGGGATAACATGCACCCAGTTAGCCTCCTTTGCCTCTCCTTCCCGTCCCAGGGAAGTCAGAGGCGTGCGCCCAGAAAGGGACGAGCACACACAGCACACATGCAGCACACACACCATACAGCTCCCTCCAAGCTCCCCCACACTTGGTTTTTTTGAGACAGGGTTTCTCTGTTTAGCTCTGGCTGTCCTGGAACACATTATTGAACTCAGATCTGCCTGCCTCTGTCTGCTGGGTGCTGGGATTAACGGTGTACTCCACAGGTCCCACCCAAGTCTTTTAAATGCACTAACCCAGGACAGCACGGCCTAGCAACACTCCACACGAGGGAGCTAGTGCTTTTACCCTTTGGTCTCTGGGCCAAATTGGATCAAAATTCTATATTTTGTTGTCTTTTAGGTTAGGTTGCATATATCCCAGACTGGCTTCCATGTTGCTTGTTTTTTTCCCCCATGTAGCTTGTAATATGTGGCGAAGATAACCTTCAACTCCTGATATCCCACCTCTATCTCCCAAGAGCTGAAATTACAAGCAACTTATATCTGCCTCAAAATTTAAAACTTGAACAATTTTCTACTAGCTTACTGATTTTGTGTCATACTATTTTGGGAAAAATTAAAAAGTCAAACTACAGTATTCTTTTACATTTTAAACTGGGTGTGATGGCTCAGACCTGTAATCTCGGTACCTGAAAGGCTGAAGTACAAGAATCGCATGTTCAAAGCCAGCTTGAGCTTCAGAGTGAGACCTGTCTCAAAAACAAGGGCCAGCCTGACACAGTGGGGCATGCCTGTAAACCCAGCACTTAGAAGGCAGAACTCTGTGAGTTCAAGGCCAGCCTGATCTACATAGTGAGACCCTGTCTCAAAACAAACAAACAAACAAACAAACAAACAAACAAAAAAGGCAGCTACATGGTCCTATTAGCACAGGCACTTGCCATCAAGTCTGACCTGCACTGATCCCCAGACCCTGCCCCCTGACCACCACACACATACATAATAAACATACAATGAAAGCACAGACAGAAATTCCAGTCACTGGCTAAGTGGAAGAAGTCATTTAGATCAAGCTCTACAAAAGGCAAAACTGACAGGAATCAGTGCAGGCTTGCAAGGCAGAGCAGCCACAGCAACACTCCTCTCTGACTGGAACAGCAATATCGGTGTGTCTCCACAGTCAGTCAAAGTCCTAGCCCAGCACAATCCTTCAGAGCCTCCCTTCCTTCCCCCAGGTATCTACAATTCTCAGTATTTATTCACCATTTTCCTGCCTAAACACAGCATTTAAGTGGCCAAGGAAATGACAGAGCCTGGGCTTTTCCCACTTTCTCCTTATGCCTCCTAACCCTCAGAATGGAACTTGTGGGGGAATGGCCCCCGCCATGATCCTGCTGTGAGGGTTCATGTAGCCTCAAGGACTAGTAAGGAAGACTTCTCTTCCCTGTCCCCTACAATGGGACAGGAGAGCATTGCTATGGCCCAGCACTTATAAAAGTGATTCTCGCTTAAGCAGAAAACTGAGGAAGTCTCCATTCTTCCCTTTCCAAAAAGTGCTGCCCCAAATCAGCTTAGACACCCACCTTTCCTAGTGCCATGGTCTCCAGGGCGGCACTCATTACCACTCTGGCGGTTGCGCCTTCTTTGACTCCCTCTGGCCAACAGGATGGTAGTCCAGCTTCCAAGACAGGAGGACTGCAGGCCCACACAGCAAGGCCCAGACTCAGGGTGTGGTTTCAAGCCACATGATACTCCTCACCCTTCTACTCAATGCCTGATCCCCTCAGGCAGGAATGAAGCCTCCTGGAGGCATCCTAGGGCACCTGGACTGGAATGCCTCTGCTTCACACCCAGCCAGGAGGCCTGGTGAAAAGGGAAAAAGCCAGGAAAGGGGGCAATCCACAGAGCCCTTGAGAGCCTTCTCATCCTGCCTTCCCTGTGGCAGCCTCTGAAGAAGGCACAGGGGACTGAGAGAAAGCTCCTGCCTGGCTCACTCCAAGGAGTTTCTTCTACCACCATCATCCTCTTGCATGCCACTACCAGGTGAGAGGGATAAGCTGTGACACCAAGAGCACTGATGGGCACAGCATAAGCACAGGCAGCTTCTATATCTCAGAGACTTAAGCGCTTCTGGTATGTCAGAGAGGTCCCCAGACATGTTACTACCGTCTAGAAACCTTACCGTGGGGGCAGCTGGTTCACTCCCCATTATGGTAATCTCATATCCACATGTGGCTGGACTGTCTGAAAGAGACTAAGCAACTGGGCAGCTAGAAGGTTCTCAAAGCCGAGGCCAGGGCCTAACTATGGGCACAATGTAAGATTCCATTTAACCATATCCCTGTCCTGGACTCTTCCCTAAAACCCTATCCAAACTGGCCTTTCACCACAGCCCACAGGAGGCTCATCTGCCCAAGTGAGATAGGTCTTCAAGGGGTGGGGGGCTGTGCACTGACTGGACAGGTCTGAGCAGGTCTGGTCTCACTGAAGCCTGCCACAGGCTTATGAGGACCATTATCACTACCTCCAGCTACAGATAAGGTTCTTGGGGGTTAAGCAACTTGCTCACAGAGAAAAAGAATATATAGGTAGCAGAGTGAGAATCTGTGGTCAACTTTCCTCACTTCCAGGAAGGGAGAACTCAGGCTCCTTTTTCTCCCACCCTTGGAGGCCTGGAAGCCTAGCTCACTGGTAGGATGCTTGCCTCGCTTGTGTAAGACCTTGGATTCAAATTCAGCACCACAAACCAAAACAATACCCCTTACCACCTGCCTGTTCTCATGCTCTAACTCCCTGTGAAGATACAGGTCTAGCTCTCTCACCTGAAGAAGAAGAAACAATGTGAAGACTGCCATTCAAGCCTGCACTGGGGGCCAGCCTGGGCTTGCTGCTTCTCTAAGTATATCCCTAGCCAGGTGTGGTGACCTCCTGCCCTTTAGGTTTGGGCTTGGTAGTGGGTGAGGCTCATTGCTCTGGGCAAGCCCAGCCAAATAATTTAGCCCAGACCTGGATGCGAGCCAGCCACTCCTGGCTCTCTCCCAAACCATCCTCCTGGAAAGCATCAGGCACTTCAAATGCCAAGAGCCCAGCCCTCCTCTTGCCACAACTTTTATGAAATGCAACACTCAGGTTCTACTGAGAACATAGGTGATCTGGTATCAGAGACCAGGACTGACT